GTAACCTGTGCCTCACTCACTTTCTTCAACAACTGGAACTTGTTTCCTTCAATTTCAAGCCGGGCCAAGTCATACTCAACGAATTCTGATTTGTATGGTACTTGGTAACTCATGTGCGCCACTTTCTCACTGGGCTTGATTCTACAGGACGAGGGAACAACCAAAACAACCTAAAGGGCAGAAACACAGCAAACGTAATCAGCTGAACCTCGGTACAGGAACTACACCATGCATGGGCCAGAGTTAAATGGCCCCTGTGGGCGGAGTAGGGGCGGGGGGAGGAGAGGGTGGGAAGTTTGAGTATCCCATATCCCGCTAATGTTTGGTCTAAATATCCCGAATCCCGATAACTCCAATTTCAAACATTATTATACATTGAACTATCTCTTTTCTGATTGGCCAAAAGGGTACAGTGAATTTTCAAAACCAGCGCCTGTGATCTAGCTGCAGATCATAATCATGTTAGGGTCACTCAAGGTCACGGGTAATCATGTCATGTATGACCGCGGCGCATGTTTTGTAAGATAATCATGTCAAGTTCGCGCACTTTGTGTTACTTGTCGTCAGTGAAGAAGCAAAAACATGACTTCCATATTTTTTTTTTCGTTCAATGTATAATAAAACAATCATTAGACTCGGTTTTTTTGATATCCAGAATAATCAAGGTCTCGGTAAGGGTTATCAGCCTCAGTCTTCGGCTTCGAACGATCCCTACCTCGACCTTGATTATTCTGGATATCACAAAAACCTCATCTAATAATTGTTTAAAATCAGTTTTCCTACTCGATATTCCAGGATATCTGTTCTAAATATTCCATATTCAATTAAAATTTCCCCAAATGTTCTGTATCCCGTTAGTTTTGTACTTAAATATCCTATATCCCAAAAAACCCCTGATTAGTTATGGGGCCTAGTTTTAGGAAGCTACAACTTGGACAGAATAAAATGGAACAATTATCCCCCATCCCCCCAGAAGCAATGATGAAGGTGCAAAGGAGCAAAAACGCGCCATTTTGGCATTATTGAAATGGGAGGAGCGGTGGTCCTGATGTTCCATTTATTTTGTCCAAAATAGTTTCAACAGGAGTGAAATCCCTATTATATAAACTAGTTTAGAATTCAGACGAAATATCCTGGCCTTTGCCAGTGCGGTGGCCGTCATGGTCGCTATAGAAAATTGGCGCTGGACTGCGTTTAGTAACGGTACGCTGAGGTTCATTTTAAAGTCTCCATTGGACATCATATTGTTTCACAATTGAATAATAACGCACATTGGTGTTGACACAAGAAAGAAAGAAGTGAATAAAATGAAAACCAGTCTTTTCCTGTCTGCAGTCAATTGTGCTCGATGACGAGGTTGTCAGGTTTCTTCCCTTCGCTAATTTGTTTGTATAGATGACTGTTCATTCGTTTGTTTTCTTGACGGAGTCACTTTCAGACGTTGATCGCGACGTTTCGACCGCACTATTTCATGGGAACGAGGATGATACTGACAAACTGTTCCCGCTACAACATAGAATCCTGCGAACCTGCCTGCGAACAGGCTCCCGGCGGGGACGAAAGAAAAAAACATTCGGCGAGCGCGAAATAGGAGAATGAGCGAAGCGATCGGGGCGGGACAGGGCTGTTCGCAGGCTAAATCAGTTCCGCTTCGTGAGCACCAGCTTGCGTACTTACTCTGCAACATGAGTCCTATGCGCACACACGAAGGAGATTTTTAGCACAGAGGGCCACTAGCTAATCAGTTTATGCTGTCATGTGTCACCCTCTCTAGATAAAGTTGATTGATTGATTGAAGGGGCTTGTCCCCGGCCACTTCACGTTCCCTTGTGTGAAATTATTGAATATTCAAATGCGCAATTATTCCTCTTTCTTTGGGCTTCCTTCGGTCATTCAATCACAGTAACTTTTGCCGAATTTATTTTTACTTCTTTGATTAAAATCCTCAAATCTAGGCATAACGTGGCACTCGTCACTCCGAGAGTTGCCGCGGATGTGTGAGCCAAAGTTTATATATGAGATGAAGTTGTTCCGCCCGTCAGGACTACGTACCTTACCTGCCAAGACGAGACAACTTTCGATCGCTCACCCGAGTTATCTCGCCCACTGGGACGAAATTGTCATTCTCATAGGTAAACGGTTGGTTGAATTTTTCAATGAAGTGAGTGAAAAGTTAGCTCGGTCAGGGTAACTGTCTTGGGTACCGGAGCTCTTAAAATTAATTGTTCACACCGAAAAGGGTAGCATAAAATGTTCTCAATATTTCGCTCAGGTTCGACTATTTATGAGAGAAAATTCAAGAGAAGGTTAAAACTGTTGGCAACAAGGAGCGGAGAGTCTGAATTCCATAGCCTCTGGCGAGTAGTATTCTTAGAATTAACTCTAAATGCATACAGTACCTCGTGACCCTTGGAGGCAAGCTTTTTCATTTAATATTAGCGAGCAGTATTAGAATTAACTCTAAATGCATACAGTACCTCATGGCCCTTGGCGACGAGCTCTTTCATTTAATATTAGCGAGCAGTATGTTTCGAATTAACTCTGGATGCATACAGTACCTGATGACCATTGGAGGCAAGTTCTTCCATTATTTGCCTCATGACCCTTAGAGACGAGCTCTTTCGTTGCGTTTGTTTAATATTAGCGAGCAGTATGCTTCGAATTAACTCTGGATGCATTTTCGTTTTTAAAATGCGAACAGTATGTTTCGAATTAACTCTGGATGCATACAGTACCTCATGACCCTTGGAGGCAAGTTCTTCCATTATTTGCCTCATGGTAATGTATTGTGACCCTCCGATTAGCCAGAAGCCGGCAATCCGAGCCGAAGAAACCGTGTTGAATGCGAGTGAAAGAAGGAACAACGATAACAACGCCATCTTAGATCTTGCACACGCAACACATCACGCTACGTAAGTACTTTTTAAAAAACATTGCG